TATTCATAACTGGCTTGTTTGCGTGGTTTCTTTGTTAAACCCAGAAATTCCTTGCTTCTACTGATTAGTTCAGCCATGGAAGTGTTCTTAAGCAATCGTCTTTTACGCTGATTTCCGCCGTAAATTGCTGAAAAAAAAAAAGGTTTAGAAATGTTTCCGGTGAAAAATGTAAGCTCTAATGGACAAAAAAAGGAGAGAATTCTCTCGAAAGGTACTAAAGTTCAGTACTCTAATATTACCTTCGGTCTTATCGCCTCCTTCCGCCATATTGAATACGATGTAGCCACACTTTAACACTAGTACCCAGGGAGTTTCAACTCCTCTTTGGGTCACTGATTTATCACATACGGTAAATTGAAAGGAAAAAATGATTTGACACTATTGGGTATTTCGGTCTCGAGATCATGTTGTTTTAAATAGACTCATTCCCGCACCTCTCTCCCCAGTCCCCCTCTACTTTTCATCGCTATCTTTACTTCGCACCGCTCTTAGCCTGCGTAGCATGGTGGTTTTGGTTGGGCGCGCTAAGTAATAAAGGCGGGCGAGACAAAACCGCCATGCAACGCAGGCTACACCGCTCTCCACTATCTGAACGCTTGGAACAGGCTAGCATCCTTTGCGAGTCCCTCCGCCGCTAGGGTGCAGTCCATTACTGTTATATGATGCCTTATTTCATTTTGTTAACCATTACATGACAGGGTTACTTACGCTGGCTCACGATGGCGGGCAAAGGGCAAGTAGATCTTGAAATACAGAAATTTATATTAGCAGAACAAGAAAAAGCCAAGTTTCAGGGCCTTGTTCATAACTTAACCGATACTTGTTGGGATAGGTGTGTGGAAAAAATAGGATCAAAGCTGGATTCCAGGACGGAAACGTGTCTTGTGAACTGTGTGGAAAGGTTCATAGATGCTTCAAACTTTGTTGCTAATCGCTTTGCACAGATCGGTCATAATTGATTCTTCGATGTCTAATTTATACTACTTATGAGGGAATCTAGCGTCTGGGAATGAGACTTTTGTATTCGTTTGGAAAACTAGCATAAACACATCAAAACAATCATTTATGGCCAGCTGGTCCATGAAGGACTGGGAAGCAACTGAACTTCAGGAGTTGATAAATATTCAAGTTTCGATCCTTGATTGCTCATCACCTTGACAATTATTGGAACGCTGCACGCCGAGAACAGTTAAGAAAAGAATCAAATAATCACTGTTTAGTGGTCTATTTCAACTGTGGTGTCACTGACTAACCTGATTCATCTCTTAACGGTAAAGGCTTAATCCGTCAGTTATCTCATTTCCTCATCAGAAGGCTTATACCAACATCTCATCTTCAAAGACTGTAAAGTGCTTGTTACCTCCTCCATAATTATTATTGTGAGCTACAGAGAAAGTAACTGAAATGATGAATATATGAATTTCAAGAAGATGACTATTAAGCAAATATTACTATCAAGCCAGGTGGCTATCCTTACTTTTGGGGAATATTGTTTTTTTCGTTGCATTAAACTTGTCATTTTGCTTGCACTTGTTTTCCTCTGTAGAGTGACAGTCCCCTAAAAGTAATGAAAGCCTGCCGGGTCAAGTGTACCCTGTTCACCAAGATTCCATTATTAGATTGTTGAATCTGTTGGTAGTTGCCTGGGGGGTGGGGGGTACTCCCTATGATAGCCTATACGGGGAGGCTCCACCCGAAAGGGGTATCTTTTTCAGGCTTCAGGTATATGAAAGGGTAGGGATTTCACTTGTTGGAGTATGTAAAAGGGGAGGGAAATCTGTCATTTGGGTGTATGAAGGGCCCAAAAGGGCTAACAGATGAATTTTATGGCGTTATAAAGTCAAGGAAATGTTCTATTATTGTGAGTGATTCCTATTTAAAAGACAGTGCATTTCCAGCAGTTAAAAGGGATGAAAAGTTCTAAGCAAGGTGTGTGAAAGGGGTACCATTTGTCAATAGAAGGTGTACGAAAGGGGTATCTTTTTTGTGAAAAATGGTACAGTGATATAAAAGGGTAAGGGGTTGGACCTCGGGGCGGAGCCTCCCCGTACAAACATTATTTGTTGAGTACCTCCCTCCCCCTGGGGCAGTTGTAGATTCATCTCTGTACTCCTGCATGCGAAATGAGCAGTGAATTCACACGTGATGTAGTAATGAAATTTCTACTCACTCAGTTTTCTTGAATTTGATGTAAATGTCTTTAAATTTATTTTATCCATTCAAAGGGTTTTCAAGGTGACCAAATACAGGTAGATTATCGTTAGAAAAATTTACTGTTCTTTATGTATAAAGGAATGAAGATTTGAATTTGATAATGATTGCGGCAACAACTAACAGAATCATTTTTCAGGTAATTGATTCATTAATGGCATAGATGAGGGTAGGTCTTGACCTGGCATGTATGACTGTAACTATTAACCTTTAAGTCCCAATAGTGACCAAGACCAATTTTCTCCTAACAATATCCATACACTGTCAAGAGAAAAGTCATGAGAATTAATAAAATGATCACCCAAGAGAAAAGGCCTTGATCTAACATTAAATTCTCTCAACTAATTCTTAAAGGAAATGTATGGAGATCAGTTTGGAGGATTTGCATCTTGATATTAGGACTTGAAGGGTTAAGTGAATATGGTTAATAACTCTCTCTTAAGAGATACCTCTACAAGATATAAATCTCACCAAAGTGGACACCCAGAGCCCCTGGGTGGGGGGCATCAAGGGGGGTTTTGGTAGAGGTGTACTGCTGCTAAGGCTTTCAATTCCTGACCCTGTTTAAGACAAAAATGTACCACAAACGTAAGACAAAGTTAAATTTAGCAAGGGGCACACATACACCAACCCACAGCCCGGCCAGCACCTCACGCAAACTTAAAACAAAGGACACACATACACCAACCAAAAGGGTAAAACAGCTGTCCATGGCTGCCCCTGCCCGGGTGATATGGCTGTGCGCATGTGTGAGGCACTGGCGAGGCCATGGGATGGTGTAGGTGTGCCAGTTGCTTTAAGCTTGTCTTATTGAATTTACTGGCACACAAATCAGGGTAACTCCTGATCTGCCTTCCCCGCGCATGCTGTGGGAGGACTGCGATGTGGTTCCCAGCCAATAGCTCCCACATGTATTGTGTGGAGCTGGCGCTTAAAGGAGTGCTTTGCACTCGCCTTGGCAGTAAAGTGTCTTTGAGACACAGGTTCTGCCCGTTCATTGACCCGACAGCTATGACATGCTGATGAGCCCCAGAAAGGGTGAAACAGCTATCCATGGCTACCACTGTGTGGGTGATATGGCTGTGTGCATGTGTGAGGTACTAGCCAGGCCGTAGGATGGTGTATGTGTTCCTCTTGCTTTACCTTTGTCTCACCACAAATGTAGACCCCTCATCACCAACCTTCACGCTCATTTAAAGGCTTCTGAGCAAATGGTCACCCTGTTGTGAAATTGTATACCCTGTTTTTAGACTCAAGACCATGAACACCATACCCTGTTGCATGGCACATACCCATTTAGCTTATTAAGGGAGTGCCCCACCACCTCAGGACCCAGAGTCAGGCATTCTCTGGTCATCTCCTCTCTACAAAGCAGACACCATTTGAAAGATGTGGTGGCTGTCTTAGTCACCATCTTTTCAGTCCCCATCGTTGTATTAAGGAGATTCATGCCTTTAGCATGATTTCACTGCATGTGCACAAATGTCAGTGGGAAAGGGGTGGGGGGGATGCCCAAGAAAGTTATTGTTGAGAAGGTTCCACCCCGAGGACCAACCGCTTACCCTTTTATATACCATTTTGGACAGAAAAGATACCCATTTCCTATACATTTAATTGACAAAAGGTACCCCTTTTGCATACATAGTTTAGAACTTGGCATCCCTTTCAACTGCAGCTGTAAATGCACTTAAAATAGGAATATTATAAAATCACAAAACCAGCATGTGTTGTTGAGCAGTTCCCTTTTGGTCTCGTTACAAACCAAAATAAAAGATTTCCCTGCGTTTTCAGGTACTTCAACTAGTAAAATCCCTACCCTTTCTTAAACATGAAGCCTTAAAAAGGTACCCCTTTCGGGTGGAGCCTTCCTGTACAGGCCATTATTGCGGGAACACCATTTTTAAGGCTCGGAATTTTTGGCATGGATTCTTTGGGGGTTAATGTCTTGTCCAGAGATTTTTTTTGGGTTTAGATTTTTGCCCCCATTCAAACATCCCCGTCACTTGAAATACGGAGTACCCCTCCCCCCACCTCCCTAGGGTAATAATTTAACAAATTTGTACTTTCCGCATGATCGATCTCATCTCACTCATGTTATCAGCCCAGGCCCCCTGGGGTAATAATTTAAGAAATTCGTGCTTTCCTCATGATGCATCTCATCCCTGGGGGGATACTTGGGTTAATGTTTGCTTATAGTCTATTTTTTGGCCAATTATAGACCCCATCTTAGTCACGTTTTGGAAAATGTAATTTTCCCGATCCCAACTTAGTCACTTTCCATTTATGCATCTATCTCATCAATGTGATTTCAAGCGGTGGAATGTAATGCGGTCAATGCGAGCTTATTGTTAAATTTAATAAACAACAACTCCCTGATTTTTTAACCGAGAATCTTCCCTTTTGAATCCCTACTTACCCCAAAATCCGAAAATTTGCGACCCTATTCTAGTAAATCTATTGAAAATGCGTCCCCATTATAGGTCATTATAGTCACTGCGACCCCATCCAGCTGCATATACCTATTAGCCTCTTGTAAGGGAGTACTCCCCCCTACCCCCCAGGATCTCATCTCACTCATGTTACTCAGTCGAGGCTGGAAAAACTTCCTAATTTTTACATTGCTAAAGGACATACATGTATGGACAGCTTTCATAAAAATGATTTGTTTTTGGTAAACAAAATTCCGTGACCAAACGTGACAATGGGCAAGACAAAGCAAGACAGGCCGATAACGCGCCGTTGGGAAACTGGGAGTGAGGAACATGGTGACGTATTAAATTGTTTGTTTCGAACCGTCAATATGGCCGCCAAACGATGGCCATCTTTCTCTGGGATATTTAGTGTGTTCTTCCTGAGCGAATTAGGCTGAACTTAGGCGATATGACAACACAAAATCAGCCCCAGAAGAAGGTAGGAGAATTAAAATTCATTGTTCTCAAAGCAATGTCCGTGGTGAAAACTTAATTTGTACATTGATTGGTCTACCATTAAACTAGGTCAAAATTTTACAAGTTCTTCGAACAATTCAAGCCGAGCAGCTATCGAAACTGCAGCAAAAGTTCCAGCTTGAACAGGACCTTCTAGAAGATGTTAGGTACGAGACATTTTTTCTGTTTTGTTTTGTAATTTAGGCCAGGAAATGATCGAGAACAATGTGAAATTGTACCGTTTTATTTTGTTTAGAACCTACACGAAACAGAGATCGGCAATCGAGCGGGAATATTCCCAGGTAGGTTTTCTTATGTGTTACAAATGGAATAGCTTTTTGCCCGTCTTTGAGAATCTTCCATTCATCTTTTCCTCGAAACTAAACGGTCTGTGGTTTTGTTTGACCAATTAAAGATGATGATAAAATTTTTCGCTCATAAATTAATTAATCAAGCTAAGTTTTAATAAACTTAAATTGCTAGAATGTCTCCACACTTTTTTTGTACATTTCAAAACAATGGAAGCCTCTTTTTTGCTATCAAAACACCTATCTCCTTTAGGTCTTTGTCTAATAAGCTAGTCTTCCCAAAAGAAACCAACATTTATTTCCTTAGTGTTCACAGATTTTGTTTGCAAAAAAGTATGGAATTTTGCATAATATTACTCCCGGCGACGTATTGAATTATTTCATAATAAAATCTGCATCAATATAATCATTCTAATTCGTTCTAATAAGTGATCGTTGTTAAAATTGTCCGAGTTCTTTTAAGTACACGCAAGTTACTGTGGTATGTATGGATAGTTGTAATATTTGATATTGTTTAACTTGTAACGAAAGGAAATATTTTCAGTTTATGCCGATAATTTTTAATTTTAAGCTTAACGTGTACCAAGTTGTTTCTTTCTACTGTTATTTTCAGTTTCACTGCCTTTCAAAGCTGTGCCAATTTTTAATATCTTGATATGTGACTAATTTTGTGGTATTTATGATACTGGTTGCTCTGCAATAATGTCTAATTAGGACAATCTTTTTTTTCTGGAAATATGTATCTATTGCTTTATTTGCCGCAGACTTGATATATACTTCCTTGATAATTAAATATAACTCTGGCAATTGCTGAATTGAAGTTCTGCTTCTGTTGAACTCATAATATTGTCAGACCTGCCAACCCCTGATAGGGGAAAATCTGGATACACATGAAAAAATATTGGGAGATTCTCCATTTAAACTAGCTCTGCTAAATTGGATGCCCCTGGATAAATATTGAAATAAAATAAAAAAAATAAAAAAAAAATATCACCCTGCTTT